TATTATTATTATTATTATTATTATTATTATTATTATTATTATTATTAACACGCTCTGATGCTAAGGAGTTCTACTCCCCCTCCCCACCTGGAAAGAAATCTCTTCCAAATGCAAAACACAAGCAGAGGAGTTTCAGTTTTACAGCACCAAGCAGCTTCAGTACAGAACAGTTGAGCTAAGCCACGCCCAGGCTCCTTGCTGTCCCCTTCTTGCTCACACAGCAAAAACTCTTTCAGTTTCCAAACAGCCCTCAACTCTCACCCAGTGACAGGACGCTAGCCAGATGAATACTGATGGATGCTGATAGGCAGAATTTTTCTTTCCTTATTTTCCTCCCCAAAAACTAAGCTGCACCACATAGTTTCATAGCGAACCACGGATATCGAGGTAGTATTAAATATATATTCCCTTTGTCATACTTTTCTGGTACGATGCCTTAACAAAAACATTTCTGGCTTATAATCTCAAGTGCCGCTTTAACCTTTTCCTTTTTCTAACCACGTATGTATTTTTGTCCAATGTTTCTTTGCTTTCGCACATGTCCACCACATTTTCATCTTCAAATGGCACGGCATCCTGTAGTCGGTCCCGTAAAATTAAGGGCATCTTACCCCCCCACCCAACCCCCATCATCACAAAAATCTCCCCCAAACCTGTCTATCAAAGCAGCCTCACCTCCTCCACCTCGTCAACCCGGGCGGAGAAATTCTTCATGAATTCGTAAATGTCATCCATCAATCCCAGCGGCATATCCTGTGAGCAGCGGGGGAAAATAATAATTCCAAAAGAGGTTTGTGTGCAGCTACGGGGTTTTCGCTCCCCAAAACAAGCTGCTTGTGGCCGGGTGTGGCCTGCCACCGTCCCGGGCCTTTTAGCTTTGATTCGGGAAGGCGGCATATCAAGGGTGGCTTTGCCTGGGATCGCAACAACGGACTCAGCCAGGATTGGAAAGGCGTTGCGTTTAAACGAGAGGGCGCGGACACCGGAGCGAGATATCGGAAAGGATGCTGCAAGGCAGAACTGAGGAGGGGTATCTTAGAATGGTTCGCAGGGATTTAGAGGGGGATAAGCTTGCATTAAGCCATGATTCTGACTTCTCTGTCGCAGCTCCCGCCCTCTGGAATGAGATTCTCCTGAGATCTGAACAGCCTTCATTCCACCAAGAATTGAAAGAGGCCCCAAAAATCTGATTCCACCCCCCCCCCGGAAAAAAAGGTGTGTGTGTGTGTGTAGGTGTGTAAAACCCCCTTTTTGGCAAGGGGTGTGTGTGGGAAACCCTCTTTAAACCACAGTTTCTTTCTAGAGCAATGTTTCTCAACCTTGGCCATTTTTTCAAATGGGTGGACTTCCAACTCCTAGAATTCCCCAGCCAACAGGCTTTAAGAGGGGTGGACTTCAACTCCCAGGGTTCTGTGCTGTCTGGAGAATTCTGGGAATTGAAGTCCCCCCCCCCTAAAGTTGTCAAGGTTGAGAAACGCAGCTGTCAAGTTCACCTGCTGGTTATGCTGCTGTTTCCAGCCTTTTTCTTCTTTTAAATGTCTTGCGTTCATGTTTTAAGATCATTCATTTACTTTTAATTATATATCGGATGTGTGTGTGTGTGTGTATGTGTATATCTATATATCTCTATCTCTATCTATCTATCTATCTACACTATCCTCTGTCTGTCTGTCTGTCTGTCTCTCTATCTATCTATCTATCTATCTATCTATCTATCTATCTATCTACACTATCCTGTCTGTCTGTCTGTCTGTCTGTCTGTCTGTCTATCTATCTATCTATCTATCTATCTATCTATCTATCTATCTATCTATCTATCTATCATCTATATATCTGTCTATCATCTATCTATCATCTGTCTGTCTGTCTGTCTGTCTGTCTGTCTGTCTGTCTGTCTGTCTGTCTATATCCCACCTCCAAATCTCACTCCCAGAACGACTCTGGGCAGGAGTTTCTAAATTTCTAAACCGACCACTGAGCATTGGGAAGCGCAGGCATGTCCTAAACCGTCACCGCTGTTTTTCCAGCTCGGCAATTTGAAGAAGGGTGGACTTTCGACTCCCAGAATTCCCCAGCCCGTTTTAAAGTAGCCAAGTTGGAGAGAGAGAAAAAAAAAAAGAAAACACCTGATCATCAGCATCAAAATGACCCTTCGAAGGCACCCAAGCTGTGGGTTGCAAACTCCGGCCTGCGTCCTCCATCCCCCCACATCCTCAATTCCCTTCTCACCTGGTGGACGCCACCTGGCCGGATGTAAGCGGCGTGCATGCGGGCTCCGGATACCCTCTCGTAGAATTCAAACATCTGTAAGAAAGGTGGAGGTTTAGCGGTCTGATTCACAAGCCCGCTCTGTCCCTTCTCTCTTGCTCGCCGGTGAAAAGTTAAAGGTTTCCCCTCGCGCATCCGTGCTAGTCGTTTCCAGCTCTAGGGGGCGCTGCTCATCTCCGTTACAAAGCCGAAGAGGAGCCAGCGCTGTCCGAAGAGACACGTCTCCGTGGTCATGTGGCCGGCAGGACTAAACCCCGAAGGCGCATGGAACACTGTGACCTTCCCACCAAAGGTGGCCCTTATTTTTCTACCAGCATTTTTTTTTAATTTGCTTTCCAACTGCTAGAAGCTGGGACAAGTTAACGGGAGCTCACTCCGTGACGCAGCGCTGGGGATTCGAACCGCCGAACTGCCGACCTTTCTGATCGACAAGCTCAGCGTCTTAGCCACGACTCGCCAGTTACTGGTGTCATAAAACATTCCTAGGTCTGTTTTAGCGGTTGCCATAAAAAAAAGGGGGGGGGGGAGGAAGGAAATCTGGAAGAGCAGTTTGAAACCGGAAGTACATTCCAACTCTTCTCTTTAAAAGATTATAACTAAACTACCAGAGCTTTTGCCCTCAAATATATATTTAATTGGCGAACGTGATTGATGACACCCAGCCCATAGGAAGGTGCTCAATTGGAGAATCTGGTTGATGGTCTTCTGCAGCGTCCTGTAGGCACGTGTTCATATTTTAGGATTAGAGTAACAGAGTTGGAAGGGACCTTGTAGGTCATCTAGTCCAACCCTCCCCCCAAGCAGATGATGTGACTGAAAAGTAGCATTTATGTCTGATTTTCAGCAAAACTGCAAATTATTGGTCTGCTAATAACCAGGAGGTTCACTTAACGACAGCTGCAAAAAAAAAGGGTCGTAAAATCATGCTGTCGACGTAGGTGACCTGCTTTACAATTGTCACGAGTTATGACCAGTGATGGGTGTCAAGTCATAAAACATTCCTAGGCCTGTTTTAGTAGTTACCATTAAAAAAAAGGGGGGGGGGGGGGGGGGGGGGAGGGAGGAAATCTGGAAGAGCAGTGCAGCCGTTTGGAAGCGAAAATACATTCCAACTCTTTATCTTTAAAAGATTGTAACTAAAATACCAAGAGTTTTTGCCCGGGGAATATATTGAATTGGAGAATGTGATTGATGACACCCAGCCCATCATTGGAGAATCTAATTTATGACACATCCAGGGGGGAAAAGGGGGAAACAGGGTCACAGGGAACTGTAAATTACGTATGCCAGAATTGGCAGGGCCAGTATGTTACCTCTAATGAATCCTTGGAAGTTTTTTGAAGTTTGGCTCAAGAATCAATTAGGGTGATTGCTGGAATCCTGACAACTGGCTTCTAAATGGAGGCCGGATCCAGCCCTCCAGCCTACTGGATCACACAGGGGATCCGTAAAATAGATCCAGGAGCTGCTCCAGCGGGGGCTCTTGGGGTGGATTTACCTTTTCTCTCTCCTCAAACAACCAGAAGAAAGGAGTCATGGCCCCGACGTCCAGGGCGTGGGTGGTGATAGCCATGATGTGATTCAGCAACCGCGTGATTTCTCCGAAGAGGACTAGGAAGCAAAAGCCAGGGTTAGCCCCTGAACGGCTTACGACCGCTGCTGCGTCCCCACAGTTACGGGATTAAAATTCGGGCGCTTGGCAACGGGCATCTACAGGTAGACCTTGGGAGGGGGTGCGGTGGCCTAGAGGTGGAGTTCTCGCCTCACAGTCAGGAGGTTGTGAGTTCGATCCTAGGTAGAGCACGATGGGCACGATGAGGGTATTATCTACCGAACAAAACTCCTCATCGGCAACAGGAAGGCATCCGGCCAGTAAAAACACTCACTTCCATTCAGTGGCCCTGACTCCACCTTGCAAGGGATTATGGGGCCGTTAGAAGATGACGGATGGTCTACAGGTAGTCCTTGACTTACAACAGTTCATTTAGTGACCATTCAAAGTTATGATGGCACTGAGAAACGGAACCTCTCTCCGCTTTTCGCAGTTATGATCTTTACAGCATCCCCATGGTTCGGGGATGCTTAGCAATTGATTCCTACTTTGCGACTGTTCTTGTGTCCCAAGGCACCCTTTTGAGACCTTCTCACGAGCCAAATCGACGAGGAAAGCCCGATTCACTTAACAACCAGGTTACTAACTTAACCCCTGCGGCGATTCGCTCAACGACGGTGGCTGGAACGGTCATAAAATGAGGGCAAAACTCAACTTTTAGAAATGTCTCACTTCACCACATAAATTTTGGGCTCAGTTGCGATCGTAAAGTGTATCTACGACCTTTGCTGCGATTGCCGATTGGGACTCTGCCCCCCCTGGAAATATGAAATGCAACATACTGAATATTGAAATCACCTCGTATCCACTGAGCTCTTACGGGCGCTTGGATATTCAGCAGCTTCTCGACAGCTAGAGAGTAGGCCTGTTCGTTGCACATCATGGAAACGTAATCCAGTCGGTCAAAATACGGCAGGGCCTGTGACACACACACAAAAAAAACCTCTAGGAAATCCTTTTTTAAGAATCCAGATTCTGTCAGGCTTTCAGGATTCTGCCTATTACAGCTTCTGAGCCTTAAATCCATAAAATGCATAAACTTGGTTGCATTTTGTTTTTGTTTTCAATTTTTATGCACTCCCCCCCACACCCCAGTGGTCTTCTCCACCAGGAGCTGGACTAGATGACCTACAAGGTCCCTTCCAACTTTGTTAATCTACCTTTGTTTTGTTTTTGTATCTCTTTCCCTCTTTTTTTGGGGGGGGGGGCTTAGTTTGTAATTTTAAATTTTTGAATAAAGTCAAAAACTTAATTGTTGAAAAAAAAAATCCGATAAATTCAAGTTACAGTCAAACTTAGGAGTCCGTTTTTAGGTCTGGCCTCCCTCGGAGGGCTGTTGTTCAAACCAGCCAGTTTGCCATCCCTGCAGCTTTGCCTCT